ATACTATACATATTGTTCATTTTCTAATGATGTCTTCAGTTCTTTAATTGAAATGTGCATTGCTTGTTTAAATTCTTCTTACTAACTATTCATTAATATTCCTATTGCTATAAAATGAAAGAAATGTGTATTTCTAATGTAATATGACATCACTAAGCATTACATCATGTGATTAATTATTCATGAAGTCAGATAACATCACTAAGCATTACATCATGTGATTAATTATTCATGAAGTCAGATAACATCACTAAGCATTACATCAATTGATTAATTATTCATGAAGTCAGATGACATCACTAAGCATTACATCATGTGATTAATTATTCATGAAATTAGATGACATCACTGAGCATTATATCATGTGATTAATTATTCATAAAGTCAGATGACATCACTAAGCATTACATCATTTGATTAATTATTCATAAAGTCAGATGACATCACTAAGCATTATATCATGTGATTTATTATTCATGGATTCAGATGACATCACTAAGCATTACATCATTTGATTAATTATTCATGAAGTCAGATGACATCACTAAGCATTACATCATGTGATTAATTATTCATGGAGTCAGATGACATCACTAAGCATTACATCATGTGATTTATTATTCATGGATTCAGATGACATCATTAAGCATTACATCATTTGATTAATTATTCATGAAGTCAGATGACAGCACTAAGTATTATGTTATGTGATTATTCATGAAGACGTTTAATTCAAACTAATGAATAAGTGTACAAAAACAGTGATAGACATGTAACTGTTGTGGCATTGAAATAATTTAGCAAGGCCTTTGTTCAGGCAATACACTTCCTTGTGACCACAGTTTTTGGTGATTTCATTACCACAATTATCTTTTGCAAGAAACACAGCAGTTACTATAAAATACTTCATTTTAGCTGGAATTAATTTTTGCTGACAAGACTTTTTAGCTTTTTCTCATGAAGTTTATTTTCTCTGTTTTTTGATGAGTAGAATGTAAAGTATAGGAAAAATTATTTTTACAGGATTTTAGTTTCACTGAGTCATCCCTTCAGCAAGAATGACTTTGAAGTAAAAAAAAAGTATTTTACTGTACATATTTCCTAGTGGTGAAAATTAAGCGGTACAATACATCAGTACTATGCATCATCGTGATTGGAATTCCAGTTTATGGACAATAAACTATGATGAGAAATTCAATGTTTCAGCATTTCTGTGATGACTGCTGTAATTTTTAGTATTTCTTATTTTTGCAGCAGAAAAGAAAGCCAAGAAAAGACCAAAAGAGAAACCTGCACGAGTTCAGGATGCTGGTCCTGTGCGTGCTAGAAACAGACGGAGAACGGCAATGGATAGGATAAGAAGACGAGCCATGCAAGAAGAGGGTGAGGATGATGAATGTAAGTGATAGTATAATAGGATCTTCTTCTAAATGCCCCTAAAATACCTTGAACAGACTTTTATACGGATACATACTACCATGTAGTGAAACATTCTTCTTAGCTCCGCTGATGACTTTGTTTAGCAGAACTTATACGAGTGATTGTTTGTCATCCATTGTCCATGTTAAATATTTACCGGTACTTTTTCGACTTCTTGAAAACTACAAGCCTGATTGCTTTGATATGTTGTGTATTTGTATTTTGGGTAGACCACACTTAGATTTGTTCATTTCCTGATGATATCTTCAATTCTCTAATTTTGATTAATATTTTAGACTTTTTGTTAAAAGCTGATTGTTAAATACTAAACATATATATACCTCAGGTGGATCTCTTTTAGATTTGTTCATTTCGTGATGATATCTTCAATTCTCTAATTTTGATGAATATTTTAGACTTTTTGTTAAAAAACGCCTAAAAAGTCTTTTCAGCAAAAATTAATTTCAGCTAAAATAAAATATTCTACAGTATACATCATCTGACTTAGATATAGGTAAATACACTAGTATTTAAAGGATTATCTTAAGGAATATGTCATATCCATGACCCCTTCACACATCCTGGTACTGGGGAGGCCTTTAGTAACTCCTACCATGTTTGTTTATTTATTATTTGTTTACTCTTACTTCTTATGTCTATCTCACCAATAAAATATACTCTGATATTAGGCTAGCAGCAAAGGGTTAGATTTTATTGCACAATACCAGAAAATTAACAAACCCACATGTCTGCGGCAGGTAGAAACAAATTTCCAACATCCTATACTAATACTTTGTATCTGTGAGCAAGTTGGAAAATTACAATTCTGCAGGATCCAAGAAGAAAAAAAAAATGTCACCAAAGTTTTGATGTAATATTTAGTCTGGTAAAAAGAATCAATATTTTAAATTGTTGCTATGGTTTAATTCACACAGATGAAGATTATGATGAAGAAGAGACAGAAGATCCTATATTACAGGAACTTGTAGATCAACAGAGTGGCAAAATAGGCAAGAAAAAAATGGAGAAGTTGGAGAAAAAAGCTCAGAAGCGTGAAATGAGAGAGGTTAGATACAGATATATACCATCATTTCGAAGGTCTTTTGAACAATAATGTTGTTACATTAGTATAACATGTTTCTGTCAGTGTTGTTTTGAATGTAATATCACAGATGTTCATAGCAGTGTAGTCGGATGCACTAAATAAAAAATGGAATATCATTAATGCGATCGTCTCACACACAAGTTTTGCTCGAGATAACATGTTGCAAGATGTCAGCTCAACGTAAAAATGTGAACTTGAAGAAACTGGCATTGCTGGAATGTTCGAAAAACAGAATGACTGTTGACAATGATATGGTTTTAGAAGAAACTCATGGAGCAGCTGTGCTGTCGGGGAAAATGTGAAGAACTTGATAACCAACTCATTCATGGTCTTGCTGAACAAATCTTGAGATGTTGACCAGAGGACTGCCCACAGAAATACAATACCTGGTATTCCTAGATTCTGACTGGCTGATTGATGAACATCATGCACCTAAAGATGTGACAAGTTTACTACATTGTCTATTGCACAAAACCATAGTGTCAAGTTAAACTTGCAATAACTCTGATTTTTACTAAATTAACAAACTGTTTTTGAGTAGATGCAATAATTCTTGTACCTTGAGAGTCCGAGAATCAGAAGTTGTAGTAGATTTTTTATAAATTTTTTATGAAGGTATTGTGTATATCCCTGTGATCTTTGCTGTGACTATGAGAGCTGTAGAAGAAGATATAGAACTGCATACCATGTCTTGGTTCAGTGTGTTTCTAATTTCAAAATCCTGCTGCAGCGGATACTGTGTAAATACAGAAAATCTTAGAATATACTGGCAAGTTATTTTAGCTAAATTAGCTAATCCGCAATTTTGCTAAATTAAGATGTCGCTAATAAAGTATATA